CCATTTAACCCGGTAAGTGCCATTACTTTTATTTCATGAGATAAAAGTAAAAATTGATTAGGCATTTTTTCTGTTCACACCTTTTCAGCTATTTGCTTCTGCTATGCCTTTCGGCTTCACCTGTATCAGCAAGGAATAGAAGAAAAGCGGAACTTTTGTTGAAATAATGCATGTAATTTACGTTTGATTTTTTTGTATGAGATGATAAAAAAGCGACTATCGAGTCTAGTTCACGCAAGTATTCAGTTTTTAGTAAGATCATCCAATAAAATTTTATAGAACAGATGTTCACAGTATAATAACATCAAAGTAAAAAAAGGCATATAGCACAGAGAAGCAGAATTAAATTAAAAAATTATAAAGAAAGGGCAGATGGGTTGGGAGTCGAGAATATTGGAAATTCGATTTTCCGGCAAACTTTTGACCACACACTCATAAATTGCTGACTCTCGAGGATTGAAAACAGAATCAGTAGAAAATGTTAACACAGTTCGCAAGCTTACTGTACGTAGTACATCAGAAGTGAACAATAAATTCTTGTAAAATTGATTCCGCAGCATTTCTCTAAATATCAAGAAATTGCGTAATGCCGGATGTGGATCTTGGAAATCGAAAGATCAAAGGAACGAGGGGGAGGAAAGGGCGCGAACGATTGTTCGAGAACTTCAGTATCACCATCTCACCTGCCGGAGCGCTGTGATACATCTAGAGCCCGGCTACTTACCCCTTACTCATTGCTCACCTTATGAGGTTACTCCTACTACTAACCCTCGCTGGGTTAGCAGTCGGTAAGTCTATGTTCTTTGCATTTTCTGCTACTCGTAAATATCTCATCTATTTGAATCTATGCCGTTTCTGTCTCTCTAGGTCTGAAGGAGCAGATCTGCGATGGTCGGGTCAATGGAGTATATGCAAGCGGTGTATGCTCTAACGTCTTCAATCACTGCTATAATGGTGAAGTAACAAAGAAAAACTGCCCGCGAGGTCTAGTCTTCAATCCAGACAACAATCTTTGCGACTACGATGGCAATGTACAAGGATGCGACAGTAAGTTGAAGTGCTATCATTACTGAACACTCGATAATGATCTAAACCGCAGCTCGGGAAGAGATGTCGTGCGCGAAGAAAAAAGACGGAACGTACACTATCGGCTGTTCGTCTACATTCTTCTTCTGCAGTAATGGCAATATCCACGTTAGCAAATGTCAAAACGGGCTTTTCTACGATGTCGATCGAAATACGGTAGGTGCATT